GTCATGCTAGATGTGCTTCCATATCATTCTTCACTATGTACACAAATTCATTTCCTTGATCGGCAGAAGTTTCACAGTTTTATGCTGTCTGTGGAGTTTAGTGCTAATTCACATTTAATAACACATCTAAAGAAGCAAAATCAGCCCTATTTGGAGTTTTTGTCAAAGAAATAATATCGTGTAAGGAAACGGATGTTCTTACTTAGTTTATTGTTCGGATTATTATTTATTTTGGTGTCCTGTAGTGCTTACAAACCACCAAAAAATACGATTTTGCCGAATCTTAAAGCAAAATGGCACATAGCGTTGATTAGCCTGACCTCAAAAAAAAAAACGGAATGACATCATAAGTGATCTGCACATCTCCGCTAATGTCACTTGTTTTCTGCACAAATCCGCACAACTGTTGTTGGAAATAGACACTGATACCTTCCCCAAATGCACCGGATCTAGTCGAAAACATGTCGCCTCTCTGTTACCATAGATTTCGCTTTTTACTGTGTTCCTAAGACCAAAAAAGCAATATTTATTCGTGAACCGTTTTCAGTGTAAAACACATAGATTCACGTACTCGTAAAAATATATCAGAAACTACAAACACGTAATTAAAGCTCTACGCGTAGCTTGATTAGGAGCAGATCACAGGATCACCATCACTCTTTGATTAAATAAAGGTTAACATGAAATTACAGAAGTGAACCGAAAATAGAGAATTTTCGAGATCGTTTTACAATCGATAGAAATGGCACGAAATTATAAGTTAGCACATAAGGACAGAACAGATCACTACATCTTTTGGAGATGCAAAAATTAGGCTGTGTGTTGCAGGAGCAATTCCTGCCAACACAACAACCAGTAGTTAACTAGCAGAATCGGCGTATAGACGTAACCATGGTAGGTTAACGATGTGAAACAACAGTACTGGTCACTCAAGCATCATTATTATTTCTATCCTTGTAAAAAGCTTGAATAGATCGGGCTACTTCCAGACTTCCTCCAACAAGATAGCGAACAAAATGGTCGCCAGCTAGAGAACCAATTGCATATAGTGTTGGGTCTTGTTCCGACTGATAGCCGGAGAAAGTGTACTTTTCCGATATGATTCCTTCCAAGTCGCTCATCCGTCCAATGCACACCACGAGCATAGAAGATTTCTCCTGGAAAAGAAAGCTAGTTGGAACCTTATACGAGTAATAAACGCACTAACAAGGGAACGATCCTAACTTAAGGTGGCGAATCGGTATG